AAGCCACGTGCTTTTTCATAAGTACTATGTCATGTCCTGTGGAGTAGGTGCCATGTCACACATCACTGAAGTAGTAAATTCTAGCACAACAGTTGACATATAATATTTATAGGATTAAAGATGAGTTAATAATTTAATAAGATGTCTTAGAAATACTTCATTTTGAACCCAGAACAAAAACATATTTGTCTTCTTCATTGTCCTTCAGCTTACCCTACAACTTCTGGGGCTGAATTTGACTACCTTGCTCCTCTGGTGATAAAAATTCCCTCCACATCAGCATATCGTGGCAGACCCACGATGTGAAAGGAGGAGAGCAGGACTGTTTTGCTTCCTGATGATATTAATTCCCTGCTGATACCACAGTGTCATGCTTTTCTCTGTTAGCCTCCTTTTCAAATCACATTCTGACCTCCACCAGGCTTCATACTTGGCCGGGCTAACTGTCGTTTATATTTCACACCTCATTCCTAAAGTCTTCTCATTTGCACCCCCGTAAATCACGCTGTGCCTCCTCCCAAGCTACGCAGTCCACCCTATTTGAATGCATTTCTTCACTCCCCACTGTGGCCATCGCTGAGTCAACCTGAAGTCTCTCCACTGTTTAATCCAAGTACCAAGCACATTGGACTGGAGATGATAAATACTTGTTGAATAAATTATTAAATCACAAATGAATAAGTAGTATAGAAGCAGCTTATTGCTGTTGTTACTTGGTTTTGACTTTTATTTCACTCTTCACTTACGCAGACATAATCCTTCTGACACATGGAGCTGATTCTCCATTTAGAAAGCCTGCCAGAAGCAATTTCCAGATGCCCAAACAAAATTTAACCAAATATTTATGTCCCATCTTGTATAAGAGGGCTAGATACATAATCAATAATTAAATTTGACATTTGTCCATCTTGACTTTCTATTTCCAAGTGATATGAATCATTTTAAAAATTAATAAATGTAAACATTCTGAATGAAAAACTAATACATCTGCATCTTCTATCATACTGCACTCATTTAGAACAGCATGGAAAAATAAAACATTTCAGGATGCTTTTTATGCTGTGTAAAAATATTTTAATATTATTTGAGTAACAGAAACAAGCTGCATCCTTGAAGTAATAAAACTCAGTTCACTATAACTGGAAGAATTAGAACTTGTCTCAGAGAGACAAACATGCCTGGATGGGAGTGTCAGTTTGACTTTGGCTGAGTGGTGGAGTCACTTCTGTTCTGCCCAACCTACAAGTTATGATAAATGGTAATTTATTGACTTGGAAACATGCAGTCTGTTTTTGGATTTAGACTGGTCACAGTCAAAGATGTATTTCCTCATCAAACTTTGATTAGGACAACACCACAGAGAACCACCACGTGGACCTTTACAGCTCTACAACAGCTGCTCCATGCTGGGAAGTCACTAATCTCTCCATCTTTGCATTGTGTCACACAGAAATGCCTCTGAAACAGTTTCATGGGCCACTTGTTTACCCAGCATACTCTGGACACCCATCCGATGGGTGAATGAATCAAGCACTCATTCTATCTTATTGCTGAGAAATATTCCAAGGTATAAATGTAATGGATTGTTCAATTTTTCATTCATTCTTCTATGCTAGAAGGATTAGAAATGTGGCCATTTTTTTCTGTGATGCTTGACTAGATTCAAACACAGTTGTCTGGGAAATTGTGTCTTGCTTGCTATGGGTTAATATTCCCTTGACCAAACCATACTGTTTCTAGAATTTATCTTAAGCCATATTTAAATTTCAGAAATATTGACTATATACCTAAGAATAAAGATAAAGCATTTAAAAAATAATTTAAAGGACACAGTTCTCTGTTATGGCTGATATTGCTATCACATGGCATGTCTACAACCTACATCAGACTGTGTATTTGCAATCCAGATTCCTATTAATGTGCCTTGGATGTAGAAGATGGTGGCTCAAGAGCTCAAATCTCTGAGCACCACCACCCATGCAGAACCACCAGATAAAGTTCCTGGCTTTGGCCTGGCTCACCATTGATTGTTACATGCCTTTGGGCAGCAAAGCGCAGGTGAAATTTACCTCACTCTCTCAATCTCTCCTCCACATCTTTCCCTCTACTTTCCCTCCCTCACCTTCTCCATATTCCTCTCCGTATTCTTCTGTGCACACTGACTTTCAAAAAATTAAACAAAGGAAAGAGAGTTTCTCATGTATATTTTAAGTAAAGCAGTTGCAAAAAAGCATATTTGCATAGAATGCAATTAAATTTGCTTTTTGTACCTAATTCTTTTCATAATCAACTTCAGATATGTACATTTAAAACTCAATAAAATAACTGGAGTTTGTTATTCAAATACAATCACATAACTTTTAAAAAAAAAATACTACCAAGTAATATTTTGACTTAAAAAGTTTTGCCTTGAAACCAAATGACAATTTTGGGCTCAACAGAGTATTCTAGTGACTTAAGACCTTGTCTTGCATGCACTAGGACCCCGTGTGGGCACCAGTTCATGTCATGGCTGCTCCACTTCCCTTCCTGCTCCCTTCTTGTGGTCTGGGAGAGCAGTCAACGATGGTCCAAAGCTTTGGGACCCTGCACCCTTGAAGAAGACCCAGAGGAGCCTCCTGGCTTCAGATTGGCTCAGGTCTGGCTATTGCAACCATTTAAGGAGTGAACTAGCAGATGGAAGATTTTTCTCTGTCTCTCCTTCTCTCTGTAAATCTGAGGTTCCAATAATAAATAAATAAATCTTTTTTTAAAAAAGACAAATATAAAGGAACATGTCAACACTTTCAGAGAGAAATTAAGTTCAAAGTACAAGCTTATTTTAGTGCAAAAATAACCTAAATCCATACACAGTACTTCATAATATACATTTTCTACACATTGTGAAAAACTATTTGGGGCACCTTAAAATGCTAATTGTGGAAGACCCTAATAGCCATAGAGAAGCAAGTAGACATTTGGCAGTCTCCCTGGTCTAAAAATTAAGTATCTGTTAAGGAGACACTCATGTGTACATATATGGACAACCCCAAAGATTGTATAAGTGCAGATTCAAATCACTGCAAATAAAAAATATCTGAGGTACTGCACTGAACATATATATTTTTTTCTTGTTACTATTCCTTAAATACTCCTTTATAACAACTGTTTAAAAAGCATACATGTTGCATTAGGTATTACTAATATCCTAGAGGTGATTTGAAGTACTAAGAAAATGTGCATTGGTTACATGTAAACACTGTACCAGTGTGTTTCTTGAACTTCAAGAACCACAAATTGTAATGCAAATAAGAGGTCCTTACTGGAATCAATACCTCATGTTACTGAGAGACAGCGCACACATACACACAGAGAGAGAGAGAGAGTGGCCTTTCAATAAAGTATAATAAAGAGCCTTTCTCTCTTTTTGTGGTTACTGAATAACTTTAGCACAAGGCATTGTGCAGTACATCATCAAAGATGCATTTCAAAGCTCAGTGCCAAGAAAAAGTGGTCCCCAACCCAATAGTTTAATGTCTCTTAGCAAACCAAAAACATCAAAGTCTTCAATTTACCCTTAACTTGGGAAACTTGATTTCCAGAAGTAGTGCACATCAGCGTACACACATCCTCATCCTAAAAGCTTTCACAAGTCTTGCCAAGAAGGAATTAAGTATGGCACTGCCAAGCAAGGAGCAAGATGAGAAGACCTGAAACCTTCTGAGCGACAGAGCACACCCAACACTGGGACATTCAGAAGATGCATTACACAATCTTTTCAAAATCTTGCATGATACTTATTACCATTATTGATACTTCAGTCTGTAAACAGAGTCATGGAGTGATAAGAATTGGAGAAGAACAAAGCAATCAACAAGCAGCGATGGAATCTTCTGTGTGCAGCATCTAAGCACATATGATGCTCTCTATTCATTTACCCTAACACGTGCTTCATATGAGATCAGGCTTTGATGAATTTATAAAACAGAAAATGCCAAACACAAATCACTATCCTCCCAGCCCGTATTTTACTGCTATTCCATTTCCTGAAATGTCCCTGCACATCTGTATCCAAGACAGTCTTCTAGAATTACCTGTTACGATGTAAGTAAGTTTTAACTTTCAATTCTGCAGCAGCAACCATATTCTAGAAGGAAATTCAATGCAATAAACATGTGATAAATAATTCAATCACTCATTCTATCTCTAAGGACAATACAAGTAATTTTTCACTTATCTATAAGACAAGTAGAGCACCTCCTTCAAATCTAAAAACATTCATTTGTTGGTTATGGTGGCAGGACTAGAAAACAGATGTTTCTTCAATCCTCCCTGACAAATATTAGAAATTAACAAGAACAAAATGACTTCATACCATCACCCACTGTTGCTAGCTGTCAATAACAGTATCAATTCTGACAGAAAGTACCCATCACACACATTCCAAGTAATTCTTCCTGAAAATAAGTGAATACAGGTGCTCTGTAACCTGATTAACTTTTAATAAGTATCTTATTTTTCCAGAATGACTTTTTAATTTTGGAATAAGGAATATATATTTCTGGAAAAAAAGGCGGCCAATATTTGCTGGATCACTCCCAAAATAGCCACAAGAGCTTACGGGCTGAAGTCAGAAGCCAAAAATTGAATGTAGGTGTCCATTGTGTGCGTCCTGGATCCAAGTAATCTGGCCTGTACCAGCTGCCTTCCCAGGTCTGCATTAGTAGGAAGCACAGGGGTACGCTGAGTACTCGGATGTGGGATCTGTCCTCCCCACTAAAACAACTACCCCGGAAGTAAGCATTTGCTAACACTAAGACTTTTTGATGACAGAATGGTTTTATACAAAATATTCCATCATTCCAATATTCAAATAATTCAGATAAAACGATGAGCTAATATCATTTCATAGTATCTGAACTACAGTGTCAAAGCATTCACCATCATTAAATAACCAATGTCGTAATGTAATTAAACAATTATTAGGTACATTTAGAACGGATTGCACCCTTTTGTTTCACACACCACCGCTCTTCACAGACCACTTCACCCTTGCTATTTTGAGATTCAGATTCTTCCCTTAAACCAACTGATTTTTTTAAATTTCATTTTCACATTCACCATGGAGAATGTCAAGCTGAAAGATAAAATTACAATCACATCATGATATAAAAACTGGCTCTAGAACAATAGCCTTTCTTGTGGTGTAGGCATTTTTTCTATGTGGTTCTGGGAAATTCTGTACACTTTAGATTGGAAATCCTAAATTAGAAAAAAATCAATAAATTTCTATAAATCCAAGTTCATAAATCAAGAAAGGGGCAAAAATTATTTATCTCTACAAACTCCTAAATAATTTGACTTCTAATCTAATCTAATTAATCCTTGATCTTTTTCTCGGTCCTGTTAGTCATACCTTTATTTTTTTTCCTACAAAGTATAAATGGCAATGTAAAGAATACACTTATAATTCCTGAGCTGGAAAAATGTAGACCACCTACCAAAGATGCCCAAGTTAGGAGAAAAATAAACCTTACTGCAGAGAAACACATGCAAGAGAGAAATCCTACACATGCAAAAGGTGGTTCTTCTCTTAACTAGACGTTCACAGCAAAACCGTGAAATCTGTGTTCAAAGTACTTGCAGGCATATACATGTCCTATTCTCTTTTTACTATGCTTTTTCTATACATGTATATGTTTCCATAATTCATAAAATAATTCATAATTTTATATAACTCATTACATATATAATTCTTGCAAGAAATTAAAATAGAAAAACTAATTTGACCCCATCTGATTAAAAAAACAAACATAATATCACTCAGTAGGTAGTTATCATTAACAGTAATAATAAGCATTTACTATTCTCCAGAAGCTGAACTTGATACTTATCTTAATGAATATCAACAGCAAATATATGTGTTGGATAACAGTATTATCCCTACAGAGTAGTGAAAAATATAAAAGCTTTTAAGCAACTTTCCCAAATTTATATGGTTAATAACTGCATAAAAATTCAAACATGTACTTATTGAAGTCATTATCCAAACATTAACTCAAAAATGTTTTTATGCAAACATACTTTCAAAAATTTGTGGAAAAAATAAATTAATAACTGTTTATCTCATCATAAACTTGAGATGATTATTTTAAACCAATGCATAGCTTCTCATCATATGATTCTGATAAAGTTTTGAAGACCTACCCTCACATGATTGTCAAATTCTCTTCAGATAAATATCTATTTTAATTGTACTTTCATAAACTTAAAAAAGTATCCTTCTTAGTCATAACTCCAAAGTAACAACTGAAGGCTCTGGTTGTCCTGCTTTGTTCTTTTGGCTTTTTACCTGTTAAAGAGTCTATTTGGTGGAGAATGAGCACCCCAGATGTAACAGAAATAGGAACATTTTGAGATTTAAAAAAATAACTGAAATAATTCCCTACAAGACAGTCACTCGAAGGGTCTTGAAGACAAACAGCCAGAGATGATATGGACCAAGCATCCCAGAGATGACCTGCCGTTACAGCACAGGCGGATGTCCCAAAGCCACAGGCAGGCAGGAGCCGTCTTCTAAATAAATAAATAAATAAGCTTAAAAAGTATAATGAAAGTAACCTTCCTGGGGCTCTCCAAAGGATAATCCAACTCATTTTTAATTCAATGCTATTAGCTTATCTTCTAAAAAGTTGGTCATTTACTCACTGGAAACTCAAACAATTATCCCTCTTATTCAATTATTACCACTTGGGAGGGACAGAAGGATGGAATTTTATAGCTAATTTTCATAAGCAGTGCAAAGGAAATCAATACTAAACATGACAATTACATTTTCATGCATTTTTTTCATCTAAAAAATGTCAAATATCTCTGGACACATGAAGAATCCAAAAGCATTTTTAAAAATTCCTATATGCTGTTAAAAAAAAAAAAGAAAAAACAAAGATTGAACCATTAGTTTGTGAAGAAAAAACTGGTAATTTTTCCCACTTCGAGGGGAAAAATGAGAATATATTGCATTTATAAATTAAAGATAAAGAATTTTCAGTATTTATTTCACATAGACTTTTTTATAAGGATATCTTAAGAAAAGTTGTATGACGGAATGAAAACCAAGGCTGCCCCACTACAACCCTGGCGCTTGTTATCTGTGGGTGTTCATTCCACTGGACAGCGTCTATGTTCCCAGGGCGCTGGGTTTATCAAAATCCCAACACTCCCTAAATTAATATCTTCAGCTTGTGGTGCACACTGAACTTCGAGTCCTCTTTCTATTCATCACCTCTACAGACCACAAAATCAACACAGCAGTCAGTCAATACCAAAACTTCTGGAAATCCATTTCTCTGTCAATCATCACTATCGCTAAAATCTCGGAAAATATTGTATATAATTCCTTTATTTAGCTCACATATCCTGTCCAAACTAAAGCCTATTAAACGCTGCTTGTTCTTCACAGTGCCGAACGCGTCCACATGTGCCCTCTGCCTCCACCCCCACTGTCTTGATAAAGGCACCAAGATGTCTCATTTCAGTGGCTTCAGCAGCTCCACCACTTCCTTGCTTTTTCATGCACTTCTGCACTCTTTCTTAAAACAGCCACCACACAAAGACTACTAAGAACTAGTTCTAATAGCCTATCATTCTTTCATTCAAACCACTTCAGAGCTTCCCCATCCCCTCTGGGTTTAAATCCAAGTCGTACAAGTCCATCTCCTATTCCTGGCTTACTCCACTCCAGTTGTCCTGATAACTGATTCTCACTGCATAACAAGATTTACAAGAGCAAACAGTTGCAATGATGCAATAATTGTAATAATTGTAATGGAAAACTGTGGAATATTGTGCTATCACAGAAATTAAGACAAGAGAGCAGGGACACTTGGTAAAAGCTTAATGAGTCTAATTTCTCCTTGAAAAAAAAGTGTCTCATTCTGATCAGCTTAAAATTATAATCTTAATTCTGCTATCTCTTCATCTTTCATTTCAGACTAATGGATATAAATAAAATGTATTTTGTAGTTGAAAACTTGAAATTGACGAATGTACAGCCACTAAAGCTAATCAGTTTAGGAGGGTGACGAGTGTGCTGCACAAACCATACATCTCAATAGAGTGAAACGGGATAGGAGGACAGCTCGAACGAGGGAGTTACCATTAGGAAGCACTTTCCAAGTTCCTATGTTTGCTTAACATTTATTCATTGTATTCTCTTTTAAATATTGTTTCCTGAGGTTCCAACTTAATCAATTTTCAAAATTACTCTTTACAAATCTTCCAATCACACTGAAGCATTTAGGAAAAATTAGACTATGCAGTTTGTCATGTCTGTGGCTTTAGCAATATGAGTATGTGCCAAAATCTACATCAAGAAAATTAGCTATGTAAAAAGCTATGTAAAAAACTATACTATGTAAAAAGAAACATTAACCTACATTAGGACAATCAATGGATTAAAACTAAGATAATATCTAAGAAACATATATTGTCTACACATAAATACATTTTCATTGAATTAAATATGGCAGAATGGAAAAGAATATTTTAAATGGCGCAGAATGCAATTTAGCACATTCTATTTTCATTTTACTTCACATTTAATCCCTCAAACATAATCAAAAAGGATTACAAAGTCATGAAGAGTCTAAAGATAGTCTTTTTGAAAGTGTATGTCAAGTGTTTATATTAATATTGTTAACAGCGCAACATAATTCAATTTCTCCTGGCCACAAAAGCCATCAATCTTTCCATAGCTGCCAACCAACAATCCTGCAGCATCCTGGATGGAGAAATGAAAGCTACGCAAGGTGCCTACATCCTGGGACAAGACATACACCCTCGTGAGGATCTACGCTAACCTCTTAATAAATACCTTCCTGGTAGTCGGAAGTTCATCAGCTTACTTCCCTCAGAGCTGGATACCTTTGGATACTTGTCAGAATCACTCAGTATTGTTCCTTTCCTGAATTTCCAAGTTCTCTACCACCAACATTGACTTGCCCTATGCTTTCCTTTTAGATTGGGGAAGAAGGAATGTGGGAATGAGAAGATCCTGTTTTTCTGGCTTTGAATGTTCCACATAGCTCTTGCTTCCAGTTCAAGTTCTTTGAAGGAGCTGCTGTATTTCCCTTCGGACAAGCCCCCTTATTCACTCTGCGCTCCCTCCCCTCCTCCCCTCTTCCTTCTAGTTGTGCAGTTTCTCTTCTCTGATGACCTTGGCTGGTGTAATCTCTTGTTTTACTCAAAACCTCAACCTTTCTGCTCATTGTTCATGTTTATTGGCTACATGCATCATCAAAAAGCATATTCAGTGTTTCTATCTCAAATTCAGCATAACCAGAGCTAAATTCACTGTCTTTCTTCGTTCCTCTTCCTATTGGTGGATCTTTCTAGCGAGTGGGTTTGTAATCGAAAAGGCCAGAAATCCATAACTTCTTCTCTGTTGCCTTCTCTGCATTTCTATACATCCACAGCATTACATTATCAGCCATCATTTCTTCACCCTTAAATATCTCAACTGGCTTCTCTCACCCCGAATGGTACACAGGCTTCCCCTGATAATCCTAACAGAAGCAGAACCGGCCAGTGCATCACAACAACCTCTCTGTTGCCAAGTTGATGCTCACTTGGCTAATCTGATTCTTAGGGTAATATTTCAATATTAATCATATCAGGATAGAAGATCAAGTGTTTAGAAGTTAGCCACACTCTTTTGACTGTATCATTCCTTGTGACATACGGGAAGCATACACAGGAGATAGGTCCGTGCAGAAAGCCACCCCAATGCAACAGGCGCAGGCGTTTCCAGCAGACTGAAGGCTCCTAGCATTTTACTCAATGCACAAATGTTCCACACTGTTATATTCCCGATCAGGGCTCCAAACAGTTTAGCCAAAATTCTATAAATAAGCTTTATCCGGTTTTCTCCCTTATCCATGAAGAATGATAATGGAAATGTAACTTTAATTTTGTTTTTATCCTTCAGCTGAAAATGAAGATGCAATATAATTTGTCTCACAGGGAATTTCAAATAATGACATTTTGGATAAAACAAATTCATACTTAAAACAATGATATCCATAAATGAGAGAAATTTCACATTTACTATCATGTATTCAAAGCTGCATTTCTATTCTATGTATTTCTATTCTACCACCTTTAAATTATCACCATTTTTATTCCATATTAAATAAATTATGAATGTAAATGACATATATAAAACGTGGCTATAAATGTCTTAAAATTTTCTCTGGAATTGAATTATTTCTATTATAAATACATCTTTTTTTTTTTTACTAAAATAAGACAAGCTACTATCCATTCTGACAATTATATATAAACTAGTCATTTGCTGAAAATTCATATCTTAATGAGGAACATGGATGGATTTTTTTCATTTAATTTGTGTATCCATGGGTGAAATTACTTATCGACAGATGAAATAACACTCACCATCAGTTTTATTTATTCTTTTGTTAATATAGGCACTGAGAAAACTGATCATACATTAGTTAGCAATGGAAGTTATTATAGTAAACTCCTTGTGCTATTTCTTAACATCCTTCAAAATTCATTGAAAAAAACCAACTGTGTTTAACATCAAAAATTGTGCTTTATTATGCTCAGATTGACAGATAACAGTTCTTGGAATATTTTTTGACTAGAAAATTTAAAAGCTTCCTGGTACATAAAGATTTTGCTACCCATTAATTATCTTTGCAGCATTAATATTTCACTACATCTTTCTGTTAGATATTCTCAAGTTTTTACACACGGGAACAATGTTTCAAACAACAGGAGATAGGAGATAAGTGTGGCCTACACTTGAAAACTGGATTTGGGGCAATATGGAAAAGAGAACTCATTTATAAATTACATCAGTGATAGGGAATTGTAGGAACACAGCCGGCCTTTGATGATAGATTCTTGGGAAAGTTGTAGAATAACGAGATTAACAAAAACAAATGACTGTGTAATCCTGCAACAAAATTTAGAGACACATTTTCCCTATGGTTCCTAAGTTACAAGTGGGTAGAAAAAAATCCCGCTGACACTTCAAAACAGGTGTCAGCACCTGCTGAAGTTAAAAGGCGTAGGAGTTGTGAGCATGAAAACTACAACTACAGCAGAAGATATTCCCTGGCAAGTGGAAACAGTAGACAGCCTCGCTGAGTTTAGTTTCTGCTCTGTGGACTGAGTGCAGAGGTCAATGGGAGTCTCCAAATAACTGAAACAGTTTGAATCCTCTACTCTTAAAAACAAACAAATCAAAAAGGAAATCAAATCTATCATCCTTAGAAACACATCTTACACTGAAACCAAAGTGCCAAGTGTACAGTGAACAGTGAAAGCAACAGTGCCAGCACAGGCAAAGAAACAACCCAGCTCAAAGTGCAGCATGGCATAGAGCCAGTGGCTTTGGAAAGACGACCACCATAACCTGCACGATTTACACAAGTAGCAAAAAATGTAAGCTCCCCTGCAGTGGAGCCTGAAAATGCTGCAGCATCCATTCCTTTGTGGTATAAGTACTTAAAAGAAAAGCCACTATTGGTGACTGGTGTCTGCTGTAGTGGGCAGAATGTCCATTGGGCTGTCTGCACCACTGTCAGAGGGCCTGGGTTCAAGTCTGGTGCATGCCCAGTTTCTGCTTCCTGCTAATGTGTGCCATGGGAGGGATCAAGTGATGGCTCAGGCAGTCACACGCCCGCTACTCGGTGGGAACCTGACCAGGTGGGAACCTGACCAGGTGGGAAACTCCTGCCCCAAGTTTCATTCTTGGGAGGCATTTTGGAAGTGAATCAAAGGAGATACACTGCTGTCTTAAAAATAATTCACAAGATTTACATACGCATAGTAATGAGCAACAGGGAAGGAATGCGGTTGTAACCTACATAGTAATACTATAAGTACCAAGGGATAAAGAATGATGTTCTTACAGACGGAATGCAATGTTCTAGAAATGCATCCACACAGAAGAAACAAAGAGTCAAATTTTCCAACATGATCTAAATTCAGTTAATAAAATAATATGGAAACAATACAGCCTCGCATGGAAAATGACACAATACTCAGGAAAGAACAAGAAATAAAAGAAATCATTTTCAATGAATGTCAGGTCTTATTTCCATGAAGGGTGAAAAAACAGACAACAGAAGGTCTCAGTATACATGCATTATCTAAGCCAAATGTCCATGCAAAATGTTAGAGTAATTCTCTCTGGGTGGCCTTTCTTGTCTTATTCTTTGTATTTTGCTGAATCTTTTATTATAGCTAAAATACAAAAATATAAGACCCCCCCCCCAAAAGGAAAATTATTTCAGAATAAACTAGTAGGAACACAGACACAAATGAATGCAAAAGATGGTGCCGCAAGAACAGGTAAAGATAAATGAATGTTAACAAATCAAATGTAATGAGAATGAAAGAATAAAAACTATTTCAGCAGGCCCAGCATGGTGGCCTAGCAGCTCAAGTCCTTGTCTTGCATGTGCCAGAAACCATCATGGGTGCTTGTTCTAATTCTGGCAGCCCCCTTCCCATCCAGCTCCCTGCTTGTGGCCTGGGAAAGCAGTAGAGGATGCCTCAAAGCCTTGAGACCCTGAATCCTCGTGAGAGACCTGGAAGAGGCTCCTGGCTCCTGGTTTTGGATCAGCGCAACTCCAGCCATTGTGGCCACTTTGGGAGTGAATCAACAGACATCATCTTTCTGTCTCTCCTCTCTGTAAATCTGACTTTCCAATAAAAAAAAATAAATCT